GATATTCAATAAATAGAGTCAGTAGCAAATTAATTAAAAATTTAGATATTTTTCATTTATATTTTCGTTTAAAAAAATGTAATCTAAATTATAAATTTTTTTTATAAGCAAAATGAAGTTGCGAACAAAGTTAGAAACAATAGGAAATTACATTTATATCAACTTATTACATTTATATCAATTTAGATTATCGAACACTTTTATATTGATTTATCATTTTATTCGGTCATTGGTAATTAATAATATAAATAAAAAATAATGATTGTGTTATATTCATTATTGATTAAAACATTTATATCAAAATAATTTTTGTGGATTTAATATTAATTTTGTTATCGAATATAAGATTAATTTCAATATTGTTTTCAATTGACTTATACAAATTCGCGTTTAGTGATTTTATTTAGAAAAAAAATTAATTTTCTATGAAATATTTATAGATATCTAAAAATAATAAATAAAAAATATTGTAGAAATTAATTTTAAATAATGTATGAAACATATATTATAAATAATATATATAAATTATAAACAGTAAAATTATTCTAATTTATACTCTAATATTGAATTTTAATATTATTTAATTATACTCTTATGAAACGTGCAATTTTTCTAATTATGGTTTGGATCATAATCTAAATCATAATAATCGACATCTCATAAAAGAATATTGAGTAAAAAGAGTTTATATAAAATATAAATAATAAAATTATCTAGTGTCATTATTTTTCGATGAAGATGTGTATTTATTTAAGAACGAAAATTTGTTTAAAAATTTAAAAAAAAATATTATTCTTTTGGACAGTTAATCTGGACAATTAATCTGAACAATTATTCTGAATTATTATTATAATTATGTAACTATTATTATATGTACGAAAAATCAAAAAAACCATTAATGTCATTAAAAAATAAATAAAGTAATAATAAAATTAATATCAAAATATAAAAAATAGATTGTATTTCTTATTTATTTATAAAAATGTAAATTTTATTTATAATATATTTTAATAATCACAAGCACTTGACTATTAAAATAATATAAAATATTTGGAAATTCACAAAATTTCTTCGAAATAATCAATTACATTATAATACTAATTATTATTACTTAAACGCTTCGCTCCTAATTTTATATCCAATTTTCTTCTCTTTCATCAAGATTATCTAATTATCAAACAAGAAAAAAATAAACATTTTGTCTCTATCTATCAATTTCAATTCCTCTTTGCAAATACGAACAACACAACAAACAAATCATAAAGTTATAATTTTGCAAACTTCGAAATTCGTGTCAATTTCTTGATGAGAAGACAGATCCTTATATCTTCGTAGCACCGAATTTGGATTATTAGCGTATGTTCTTTAACTCTTGATGATTTTTAATGTTTCAAAATAGTATTCGATAAGCATATGGAAATGATGTAATTATTAATCCGATATAAGTCAATTTTTTTTTTTTCGGGTTTACGGGAATAGTATAAGCAAATGCGAGAATCAGGAATATCGCGTTAATATTAAGAATTTTGAGTAAAAGGTGAAAACGTAAGATGGAAAGGAGTAGGGAGAGGTAAGAAAGAGAAGAAAAAAGAGAAAAGTAGGAGGAAGCAAATTTATATTGAGAGGGGGCAGATGAAAAGGAATTGTTAGAAAAAGAAAAAGAGATGAATGTGAATGGATAGTGCAGCGTGAGATGCGAATGAATGCAAATCATTTTGAAAAACCGGCGACTGTTGAGGCGGCGAGAAAAGTGGATTGCAAAAATTCAGAAGATAAACATAAAAATTGCTTTCTCTCTCGTCTTTTTTAGCGATCGTGAAATTTTTCCAAACTTGATTTGCCTCTTAACAAAGATTTTCATAATTATTTTTTCGATGAAGATGTGTATTTAAGAACAAAAATTTGTTTAAAAGTTTAAAAAAAAATATTATTTTTTTGGACAGTTAATTTGGACAATTATTCTGAATTATTATTATAATTATATAACTATTATTATATGTACGAAAAATCAATAAATAACGAATTGATTTCGTTATGTATCTTAAGATTAAATATATATTTTGGAACGAAAGCATCGTAAGCATTCAGCATCAAACTGAATTCCAGCAAAGACAATTCGAGATTTTTATAATTTTCATAATAGAATCATATGATCTTGTATATTCCATCAAGAGAAATATATATTCTAGAAATTAATCCGAGATTTTTAAAATAAATATTACCTAAAAAAAAATATAGATACGATATAGATAGAAATATAGATACTTTTATTCTTTAAAATATTCGCTATTATTTTCGATGACTTTGTTCCATCTTTTATTTTTAATTAATATATCTTTTCCTTATGTGCAGATAATATTTAAACATTTAAATATATTTAGTTATAAAAATAATATAATATATGTGAAAGGCTTGTTGTATTTGATTAGTAAATGATTTTTTCGAATTTATTATTCTCGCAAATTGATTAGTATTGGTAGTAATTTGCATTGATAATTGAAGATTGGAACAAAGTGTAATAATTTTCATATTTTTTGAAATGAAATGTTATAAATGTTCAAAAAATTATAAATTATTTAATGTAAAGATATTAAATTAATAAATTTATAATAATATATTTTTTTTATAATAAATTTCTAGATTACATACTTGTCCATTTATAGAAACAAATCTGCAATGATATATCATTTATATGTATTTAATTTAAAATTATATTTTAATAAAGCATAACATGATGCAATTTTTTATTTATACTAATCCTTAATAGCGGTATAATATAGAAAATATATAGCATTGTGTTATGATATCGTGTTCAAATCTGATATCCAACTAATATAAACTATTTGAGATAGATTAGTCGCTTATTTTTTTTACGAAAAAAATTATCCTTTGCATGTTACATATTTTCTTTTGATACAAATAGTAAAGATATAAGATAAAAATATGATGTTTAATAATATAAATATATTATAGATTTAATTTTAGGCCTCTTCTATAAGGTAATAAGTATTATCATTCATACATAATGATAATCAGAAATATAATATTGAATTTACATATATGTATATATATTTAATATCCATTATACATGTATGGTAATATCTATATGAAAAGAAATCAAAAGATTAAAAGCTTATTTTAGTAGAAATAGATAAACAAAATATTTATGATTGTTATTAAAAATTAAAAAAATTGGATATTGTTTTATTAATTGAAAGAAATTGAAGGATTAAAATGATATTTTGTTGAGAATATTAATATTATTATTACTAATAATATCTATAATTGAGAGAAATAATTGTGAATTTTATAAAAAAAAAAAGAACTTATTTAATTTATTTAATTATTAATTAATTATATTATATAATATTAATTATTAATTATGAAGAATTTTCAATGTTTTTCTTATCTCAATTTTTTATTATATTTCATATATTTATTATTATTTTATTTGTATTTTAATAACATATATAACAAATAATAACTAATTATTTAGATTTATAAATCTATTTTATAAAAAGATATAAAAATTATAAGTAATAAAAAGATATTTTATATAAGAAAATAATTATTTTTTAAATAAATTCTCTTATCTATCATTAAATTGAAAAATCCATTTATAGAAAAATTTTTCAATATTATTTTTATAAATTTTGAAAAAAATCTTAATAACATGAAATTATATCATAGTAAATTTTTGTTATTACAGTAAAATCTATAATTTTAATCAAATGTCAAAATAAAATTTTAAATATAGAAATCTTAAAATTGTTGAATATTTACTTTGAGAGAATATTGAATTTTCAAGCAAGAAAAAGTAAATTTTTTGTTTCATTTATCATAATGAAGTTTATTTATAATTTTTTTTGTTATCTTGCGTAGAATTTATAAATTTGATAAATTTGCATATAAGATTATTTATCTTTCATTTTATATGATTTTTGTCATTTGATATCATGACACAATATTCATCAATTACGTTAATTAATTGTAGATATTTTGATTGTATGAAATATCTTAAATAAATAATATTATATATAAATCGAAATATTAATTTTTTGAAACCTCAGTGTGGAAAATATTTAAAGGAATTTCAAAAAAAAGAAAAGAAAAAAAAAGAAAAACAATTATTTTATAATATATTTTATGAATTTATTATTAATATTATTCGATTATTAAAAATAATGAAAATATATTGAAAAGCTAATTTTCAAATTATAAATACTTTTAATAACTGCTTCAATTTTTCAACAATATATTTTTATCTTATTCTTATTCATAGATCACTATTTTCAATTTCTGGAATAAATTTAAATAGATGTAAAAATAATCAATATTTTTGTTACTATATAATATTAAAATGTAAAACATGAAATTCTTTGATCTAAACTAAAGATATTATGCAATTATTAAAAGAAATGAATTTTTTACAAAAGATTTTTATAAAATCTTTACAGAAAAATATTTCAGAAAAGTATCTTTATATACTAATGATACATATCAATCTTTGAAAATAAAACATAAAATCTTCAAATGTCAAAATAAAATTTTAAATATAGAAATCTTAAAATTGTTGAATATTTACTTTGAGAGAATATTGAATTTTCAAGCAAGAAAAAGTAAATTTTTTGTTTCATTTATCATAAAATTTATTAATTTATTCAAATCATTTATTTTATAATTCATTGATTTTTTTCACAGATTTTATCTAAGAATAATCCAATACTACGAATAATTATTTATTATTTAAAGTTACATTTCAATTTCCAACTTCTAAAAGTTTTTCAACAAGTATTAAAAAATCTTTATTTTAAATACAACAAAATATATGAATATATTTGTTTCACATATTAAAACGGTATGTAAATTTAAGATTTTTTCTATAAAAATATAATTGTCAACAGAATTTACTCAATGACAGGCATTTTAGTATTTGCATTAATCGCAAACTTCAAATTCGATAAATTTTCATAAAACATCACGATTGTCGTTTCTTTCAGAATCTACGAACGATCTCGTCACTCCGGCGAACAGCGCGCTCTTAATCCTCTATAATCTACTATAACATTCAGGTAATACTTCAACGTATTTATACTTGTTTCGAGTTTTTATTTATTGCATTTTTCTTTTTTTTTTTTCGAAATGCGCCAAGTAGCTGCTATTTGTTTCAAGTTTAAAATACAGTGTGATTGTTCGCTGTGATCTCGTTATTTATTACACTTATTTTTTTCTTTATCTTTTCTTTCACGTGATTATACTGATATGGTGGTGATACTGATGCAGATTTCATTCTGTGTTTCTTTTAATATATTTTTCATATGCAAGTATCTTTGCTATATTTTTAATTTATTTAGATATTTTTTTATTATTTGTTTGCAATTAGTTGCAATTTTATTCATGTTTTTAATTAGAATTTAAATAGAATATGAATAAATTTAAATAGGATAAATATATACTAATAATTATAAAAATAGATGATTTATTAGATTTTAGATAATATTATAAAATCTCTAATATATGATAGCATATTGAAATTATTATCATTATCATTATTATTATCATTATTATTATCGTTATTATTATTATCATTATTATTATTATCGTTATCATTATTATCATTATTATTATCGTTATTATTATTATTATTATCGTTATTATTATTATTATCGTTATTATTATTAACGTTATTATTATTATTATCGTTATTGTTGTTATTGTTGTTGTTGTTATTGTTATTATTATTGTTGTTGTTGTTGTTGTTGTTGTTGTTGTTGTTATTGTTATTGTTATTGTTGTTGTTGTTGTTGTTGTTGTTAATCAATAATTTTATTTATATTTTTAATTAGAGATAAATTTAAATTGAATAAGATATTAAATGGCTGTAAAAATAGATGATTTATTAAATTTTATTAGATAATACTGCATTATTTTATTACATAATACAGAATCTCTAGTATTATATTCTATATTAAAATTATTCTTATTATTATTATTAATTGATTTTATTTTACATATGTTTCTAGACATACATATTAATTAAAGAGTTTAAGATAGCTTACGAAACATTATCAACAATATACAATATTTTCAAATGAAAATCATTCAATTATTAAATGTTCGATATAGTTTAATTTTTATATCATATACAATCATAAACAACATTTGTATATTTCAATTCAATAATTTTTTACAATTCAATTATTATAATTATTATTATATTTTTATAAAATATTGCAAAATAAGTTCTGGGAAATGGATCTTAATTTTTTGGACATTTTTATATCGATTTGCGATTTTATATTTGGATGAGAATGAAAAAGAAAAGAATTATTATTAGACAAAATATAAAAATAGCAAATGCTCCTTATGCAAGACTTAACTTTGATAATAAATAGAATGGATTCCAGAATCTAATGGATTCTCTCAACATAACAATATCATTGATTATATTAAAGTTATAATTTTATTATTTTCTCAGTTATATTCTTTATTTTATCAATTATCACAGTTTATATTATGTTATGTTATGTTATGTTATGTTATGTTAAGTTAATTAATTATAATAATTTAAAATTTCAATTATTTATTAAATTAATTATTAAAAAATAAACTTCAATTTATATTTTTGTATAATTTATTTTGATCTCTAGAATCTTTTTAAAGATATTTCATGAATATATTAAAATCATGTGTTTAAGGTTTTTTATTATTCGTATCTGTATTATTATTTGTATCATCATGTGTCTTATTATTTAGATATTCAGATATTTGAAATATTTATTATAATCCGAATTCGAGAATATATTTCCTGAATATTTGAATGTGAGTTCGAATATCTATAAATTCGAACAATAGTAAAAATCTTAATATATATAGTATATAATTGAAAATTAAAAAATATATTTCCGACATATTTAGAATATTTGTTTTATCTAAATATATAATAAAAAATTCTTTTTAAAAAAATGATATTCTTTTAAGAAAAATTTAAAAATATAAATTTAAATTTAAAAATATAAAAAATTATTTAATATAAAGAGATGTATTATGCAATATTAATAATTTTTCTGTAGATTGATATACAGAATATGAAAATTAATTTTAATTTTTTTATATAGAATCATATAATTTTAAGTATTTATCGTATTTTATTGTATTACGAAAAAAATATTAGATAGATATTTATATTAAAAAATCATTAATTTAAAAGATATTTTTAATATTCTTTTATTTTCTTCATAATATTTTTTCTTTAAGATATATTTCATTATTTTTAGATAAAACAAACAACTTATTTATGATAATATGCTGTCTTTTATGATAAACATATATAATATATAATAATAATATATGATACACATATATGTCATATATAAAATATAAATATATTAGTATGAAACTAATATTTGTTAATTTTTTATATAAATGATAGAAAAAGAAAAAATACGCATATAATAATTATATAATAATATAATTGATAAACAATTTGAAACAAAAATCAATTATAAAAATATAAGATTTTTATAATTTAAAAAGTAATAAATAATTAACAATAATAAAATGTAATAAACAATTAAAAATAATAAAAATAATAAAAAATATTGATAAAAAAAGAAATGATAATATACGTAGCACTTATTTAGGTATCAGATGTGTATTATTATTCTGATATTACTCTTTCAGTATAGATTTTCGAAATAATATTAAATTTTTTATATTATTTTTTTGAAATAATATATGAAATAATAATTATGATAATATTTTAATTAATTATATATTATTACTGTTATTATAATTATGAAAATTGTTCAAAAATTTTTTTGTTTGGATTCTATATTATAATGTATCGAATATCTATATGGATTCAATTTCGATATATATTTGAATTAAAAAATTTTTATTATAATTAATTTATTAATTTATTATAATTACTACATATTTGCAAAAAATAGAAATCAATTCAATTTAAGATATTTCTTTAAAAATATTAATAAATTATTTTATTTAAATTTATTTATAAATTTGATTGCCAAATATAAAATAAAAATTTAAATTAGATTAAATTAAGTTAGATCTAAAAATCATTTTGAAATGAGAATTCAAGTAATTCAAATTAAGGAATATTACATAATATTATATAATATAATACATAAAATTTATACATGTTTAAGCTGTGTGTTTAATACATTTCATTATTATATGTTTTCCTAATTAACTTTATAACTTTGATTTATAAACATTTATTGACATATTAGAGCATTTATAAACATATTTTAGTTAATATTTTTATTATTTTCATTTAGATAGATTCTAATATTACAATTCAATAAATATAAAAAAATTATATAAAGTTGAAATATATTTTTTTAAATTTTTATTATTTTATAAATTAATAAAAATTCATATTATTTTATGAAGTTTCAATAATATTTACAATTTACAATGATATTTTCAAAGTTTTCATTTCTTACACTGTGTCAATTATCTACAAGTTATTGCAGTTTGAAAATAAAGACATTCCTTGTAATCGTAAAGTTGTTCTTTTAGTAAATATTGCATAAAGATTTTATCATGTATAATTTATATTCAAAATTTTTCAATTTCGCTATATTTAATTATGTTAGAATCTATATGACTTGAAATTGAAATTTTCATGTTGATAGTTTATAAAAAAGCAAGAATTAAAAACGATATGGATATAGATAAATATTATATTTACATTGTTCAACAAACATAAAAAATTACATGAAAAATTATCTTTCGTAAAACGTGCAATTTTTTAAAGTAAAAATGAAATAAAATATACAAATATATAAAAATATAATAAAAAGTTAATATTATTCTGAATCTCTTTAAAGAATTCTAAAAATAATAATTACAACAAATTGTTAAATTACAAAATTTTTTATATTTTATATTTTTATATTTTAATTTTAATACCTATTAATTAGAGTTGAGAAAAATCACAGAAATTTGAATTCAATTTGGATATTTTGATTTTTTTAATTTTTATCATATTTTATATAAATAATGTGAAAATTAATTGTCTAGAGATGTTTTTCATCTTTTTGAATCATTCCATTTGTTAAAATAAAAATTGATTTGTTTCATTATCTCGAATGATATTTTCAATTTTCAAGTTCAATTTTCCTTATTCATAAACATTCAAATTCAAAATAAAAACTATAATAATTATTTTATTTAAAAAATTAATTAGATATAAATAAAACGAAATATAATATAACGAAATATAACGAATTTAGAATTTTTTGTTGTAGCTTAATTTATTAGTATATTTTGGTTTTATATTTGCTATATATTTTGAAATATAATAATATTATGTAAAATTATATATTTAAGATCAGTATTAATAACTCATATTATAATAAATAAAATTATTATATAATATTTTAATTTAAAGAAAAATTTAATACAAAGCAATAAACATAAATATAAATATAAATATTATTATAAATTATAATTTTTTATATTTATAATAGAATTTTGATTTTAACGATAAAAACTGCTTGCTATATTCATTCATTATACTATGCTACATTATATTATATAATATTATCTAGAATAAAACAAATTAACATTATGAACGCCCAATATATCAAATACATTTCCCATATTTGACTATTCTAATAATCTACTGAATATTTTATTATTTGAAGATCTTAAAGCGATAAATGCTTCACACGTACTTATATTTTAATTTAATATAAAAAAATATATTTTCTCTAATATTTATTATTAAATAAATTTCCTTATCCGAACAATTAATATGAAAATAAAGAATCTATTGTTGTTATAATTAGAAATATAAATATTATAAAGATAAAAAAAAATAAATTATATTGTACAAATATTCGGTTCATTTTTAAAAAATCAGTAGCGTTTTAGAAATGAGAGGATGCAAGACACTTGCATAAACAGTAGGATTTAGGAATTAGGATTTAGGGAGAAGAAAAGAGAGAAAGACAGACAGAAAGGATTCCGTGCATCTGCATAGTTGCTATTCGAGACGGTGCACTTGAAACACTATGTTGAGGAGGACTAAAAATGGCGA